TCCATCCATCCATCCATCCATCCATCCATCCATCCATCCACTGTGTCAAGCACTTTTGCACACATGTTGCCATCTCAAGGCTGTGGGTCTCTATGGGGGCAGAGAGCCTCATCTTTCTCCTGTGGGGTTGCTGGTGCATTCGCACGGTGAGCTGTGGCCCGCAGCCCACCTCATGGCCTGCTGCAGGGCTCCTCTGCGCCGAGAGGAGAGGAGAAGGGTCAAGGGAGACTGAAGGACAAAAGGCTTCTCAGCCTGGCCAGGGTGCTGTCTTTGCATCTGGGGTGGGCATGTCCAGAAACCTGCCACTTCTAAGCTGGAGCCTGGCCTCCCGGGCCCTTCTTTGTGGCAAGGGCCATTGGGAACCGGAGTCTTTTCCTTTCTGCTCTCTGGGGTCCAGGTTTGGGATGGGTGATGACTGATCAGCCACCCTTGTCTGCAGTGGCTGTGAGATGGGTGTGTCGGAAGCTGAAGGGTCTGTCCTGCAGGACTGATGGGTGTGTTAGTTCCCGGGCAGGCTGGGGTGTAAGCTTAAGGGGCTGGGCTGGAAGCACTCATCTGGCGCAGGACCCAGGAGGACTATTTTGGGGCAGGGGATGGGATGGGGCCTCCATTTTGGTCAGGGCTTCTGGGCACGCAGCCACCTGGCATTGTGGGAACCACGCTCTGCTGTGGAGTGTCCCAGGCAGGAGCTGGAGGCAGGGCCGGGCTTTGGCGTCCGAGGATCTGAGCCTCCATCTGTCTTCTCCACGCAGCACCCGGCAGTGCCACCTGCTGCTGGACGTCTTCAACTCCACGGAGCATGAGCTGACCGTCAGCGCCCGGCACAACGGGGAGCTCATCTTGCACGCGAGTGAGTGCCAGCGGTAAGTCTCATGCCCCGCCCCCCGTCGTGGGGGTGCTGGGGGAGCTGGGCAGGGGCGGGGGGCCACGTGAAGTGGGCTCCAACCAGAGGCAAGCGGGGTGAGAGGGTGTGACCCAAGGGGGTCCTCCGAGGAGGCAGAAGCAGACCCTTGTGAGGCCTGGTCTGAGCAGGCTCTCTCTCTCCAAGTTCTTGGGAAAGCTGTGTCTGGGGTGATGGCGGACCCTGTCCTACAGATGGGTCTGACGTGTGTGTGTGTGTGTGTGTGTGTGGTAGGTTGGGTGAACAATTTCACCGAGAACAATGGTTTCCCGCAGCCTCTCACCCACACGTTGTTTCGTGGCACTGGTTGCGGTCCCTCGATGTCACGACCCTCTTGCCACTTGTCCCCCAGGTTCCTCGTGCCCATTCGTCCTCCCTGTCCCTGGCCTCTGTCTTGGGGTGGTCACGGTCTTTGGGGTCCTCTGTGGGAGCATGGCCCTCCCTGGTGCTGCAAGTCATGCCTTGGGCCTGTCTGCTGGGCGCCTGCGCGGTGGCCCCGCTGGGTTCACTTGAGGACTGAGTTCAGTCTTTCCTTCTGGCCCCTCCTGCCAGACAGAGTGACGCCGCAGCCGGTGCCCTGCGGTGGGCCGTGATGAGTTGGGATAAGGCGTCAGGCCTTGTGGCGCCCCCTCGCCCCCTCCCCCATTCAACAGCCCACACAGACAAAGGCTCCTGCTCAGCTCTTGCCACCGTCAGGGGTGCAGGGGCCGTGGGCCTGCCTGTGTGCCCGGGGTGCTCAGATTCTGTGGGGCATTGCACCCCTGGTTGCAGATGGACACGGAGGCTCCCAGGGTCACTGCTGTGAGGGTTGTGTGGTGTGTGTGTGTCAGAGTGAGTGTAAGTCTGAGTATGTAAGTGTGTACCAGTGTTGAAATGTGAGTGTATGAGTGTGAGTGAGTGTGTATCTATGAGAGTGAGCTTGTGAGAGAGTGTGTGAGTGTATGGAAGTGTGTGAGAGTAAGTGATTGAGTGAGTGAAAGTGAGCAAATATGTCATCGTGAGAGTGAATATGTGAGAGTGTGTGCGCGTAATTGTGAATGTGTGAGTACAGAGGAGTAAGTGAGTGATAGGGTGAGTGTGTAATCATGGGAGTGAGTGGAATGTGAGTGTGAGAGTGTACGAGGATGATTGAGTAAGAGTGTGAATGAGTACATAATTATGAGAGTGAATGTGTGAGTGTATGAGGAGTAATAGAGTTAGTGTGAGAGTGAGCAAGTGTGTAATCATGAGAGTAAGTGAAAGTGTGAGCATGTAAATATTAGAGACTGTGTGAGTGGCTGTGAGTGTATGAGTGTGCAAGTATCAGATGGACTGTGTGTGAATGGGGGTGAGTGTATGAGTGAGTATCAGATGGACTGCATAAATGTGTGCATGTATGAGTGTATCGGGGACTGTAAGTGTGAGCAGGTGTGAGTGTATGAGTGTGTGAGTATCAGGGACAGTATGTGTGAGCGGGTGTGCGGGTATGAGTATCAGAGGGACGATGTAAGTGTGAACGGGTGTGAGCGTATGAGTATCAGAGGGACTGTCAATGTGAGCAGTTGTGAGTGTGTAAGTGAGAGCGGGTGTGAGTGTGCGAGTATCAGAGGGACAGTGTAAGTGTGAGCAGAGTGAGTGCGTGTGTGGGTGGAGACTGTGAACATCAGATGTTTAAGTGTGGAACTGTCACCATCGTCTCCACACCTCCTCGAGCTCCCTTTGAAACTGTCATTTAAATGCTGCATTCTGTCAACCTGGCGCAGGGAGCCTGTCCTGCCTGCTCAGCACCTCACCTGAGGGTCCTCTGGAAGTGCCCTCCCCCTCGAGTGTCCGTGGCCTGGCCGCTGTGTCCACGCTGGAGCTGGGCCAGCAGTCAGCTTCATTTCCACCGCACCTGGTCTTCTGGGCTGGCCTGTGGCTCTCTCCCCACAGCCGGGCACTGGCTGTCATGGCCCTGAGCTGGGCATGGCATGGGCACTCACCATGAGGGGATGGGCCTCGCGCCCACTCTTGCAAATGACCAAGGAGGCTCAGGGAGTCAAGACTGGCCACCGCCCTGCCACCAGATGGCCCTGAGCCCAGGGCTGCCTGGCGCTGGCCACCCTTCACCCAACTCGTGCAGCAATGCAGGCCTTGCCCGGGGAGGCAGCACCCGCGTGTCCAGGCCCGGAAGATGAGCAGAGCGGAGTGAAGCAGCGAGCGCCCCTAAGACAGCATGTCAGCAGCAGCGAGACCGCTAATTCTCCAGGAAATTGAGACGTGATCATTATCATTATGGTGCTCTTTGGCTTCATCATCAAGCCATTAAAATTAAATTTCACCACAGCCCTTCCTTCGCATGAACCCCTTTATGATTAATGTCAGGGCAGCGGGGCTTGCCTCGGGCTCTCCCCACCCTCGCCAGTGCCTGCTCCTGCGCAGTCATGCGCCGCCCGCTGTCCACATGCCCCCTGCCCTCAGCTCCCACTCCCAGGGGCTCATGGCCGGGCAACAGGGGCTCGGGTGCCAGGCCGCCCTGTCATCGTCCAAGTGGATCTTCCCCTTTAGCCATGCCCAGGGTTCCCCAGAGCACAGAAACCAGCCCACCCCCGCGGCCTCTCTCCCCCATTTAGTTCATTCACATGCGCCCAGGGAGGGTCCTGTGGGCCACCCAAGGGCACTGCCAGCTGGACCTCACCTCATTTTTCAGCCCAGAGGGCTGCCTGGGGTCATCCCAGGGCCAAGCCCAGCCTGGGCCTGGCCGCCCTCCTGCGGGCCCCCACATCCAGGACCCGCGGGCTTTCCACGGGTCTCTGCTGTCACGCTCTTGTAGACAAAGATTGCAGAGGCAAGGAGGCACGGGGTGGAGGGGAAACCAAGGCTCGCGTTCAGCCAGCTGCTCGTCCATGGGCAGCTGTGAGAGCGGTCTCCTCCCCACAACCCCAATCAGCTGTCTCTGAGGAGGGCCCAGCCCACAGCACAGCACTTCCTGTCACCTCGCAGGCGTGTGAAAGGGGCTGGACAGTGAATCAGGAAGAGTCACCGTGTCGGAAGGGCAGTGCTGGCCAGGACGACGGAAAGCCCCGTGGGTGGGCTGCCCGGAGACCGAACCAGCCTGTCCTGGAAGAAGTGCGGCCAGAGGGAGGGCTCCTTGGAGGCGAGGGTGGCAGGACTTGGCCTCGCGTCCTCTGGGCACGCTGTCAGGAGGTGGACAGACACAGTGGCTGTACTCGGGCTCAGACACAGGAACACGTGAGGTTGGCGCAGGGCGGTGCGGTGCTGCGCTCTCTTGCCCACCAGGTCTCTCTTTGGGTCAAACTGACGCAATAGCGCCTGACCCAACAGCAGAGTCATCCTCCCAGAGAGCCAGGTGACCCCGAAGCCGGCCCTCGGGGGTTCATGTGCTGGGAGGAGCTGGGGAGCGGTCAGCTGAGGGCCGTCTGAGGAGAGGGCCTGGTGCTCTGGAAGCAGCTGACGCAGCGACGACGGGAGGGAGATGTGCTCACACTTCCGAGCGTGGGGTTTCCTTCCTCAGCCTGGCATTCGCCTGCCCCTCGGCCGGCTGCGGTGGGTGCTTCGCCTCTGCTGCCATGTGTGTGTGGGGGCTGTTGGGGCGCCGTGTCTGGGTGTCCTGGCCATGCCCTCGCTCCTCGCCTGGGTCTGGGCGAGCCAGGGGCCTCAGCGGTTCCTTAGAACAGGGCAGTCACCATGTGCCCCCAGCCCATTCACACAAGACTGCGGTGCCACAGAACACATAGCAGATCCCCGAAATGGCAAAAATAACCCCAAACACCCAGAACCAATGAATCTCCAGAGCCTGGGGGAGCAGCCACACCGGCCACTTGACCCCACAGCAATCCAACATCGGGCGGGGCCCATGGGGACACAGCTCACCAGGAGGAGGCAGCAGGCCACAGTGCCAGGCCTGAATTTTCTTCTCTGTGTGTGTATGGGGGCTGGGGGAGGCAGGGAGGACAATGTCGGGTCAGGGTTTACTCCCCAACACCACGCCGGTCATCCTTGACCACAGACACGCCAGTGACCTGGGGCCTGGACAGTTCTGCCTGAGACTGGACACTGGTCCCTAAAGCCCAGGTCAGATCGAGGGGCATCCACCTCCCCAGGGTGGGGCAGGGGCTCCAGGAATCGCTGCCCACTTGGGAGAGGGTAGGGGGCTCCTCTTATCTGGTGGGCAGGGGAAAGAGCCCAGCAGCTCCATTTCTCCGGCAGGGCTGTGCCCAGGTCCTCAGCCACCCAAAGGCTCACTAATCACCTGCCTCTTGGGTCGGGGGCCTTGAGGTGGGGACCGGACACCATGTCCCCTATGGCTGGCTGACTTTGTGTCCTTGAGATGTTATTAGCTGCAGATGAAAGGTGACACCATGGCGGGAGGGGCCGCCTGACCGCCTCACTCAGTGTCTATGATGAGCAAGCCCCAGCCCCCCTCTGCCCCCCTCCACCTCCCCGGAGGGTGTCCCCTTGGAAGTCGCTGTATGATTTCACACACACACATCTCAGCACTCAGCCCGGAGCCCGTCGTTACAAAGTGGTCCCACGCCACGTGCCCAAGGAGCAGTTGCTCAGTGACCACGCGTGGCAGGCAGGCCGGTTTCCAGGGGCTCGGCCGCGCTGTGGGTCTTTCGGGCATCCTGGAAGGCGGGATTGCAGACATGCACATGGCGGGAGCCCGTTTTGAAAGACAAGGAACCGCCCGGTGGGCCAGGGTGTTCGCAGCAGAACCAGCTCTAGGATCCCAGGCAGACCCTCCGAGACGTAGCCAGGGTGGGAGATGTGACAGAGCAGCACCCCAGTGCTGAGCGACCACTCTCCTGCCTCCTAGACGACAGAGTCGGAAGGGGCAGCGGCCACCTGTGCCGCTCTGAATGGACGTCACCCTCTGCAGGCCTGGCAACTGTCCAGTCACCACAACTCCCCTGAGCCCCCTTCCCAGGGTGCCTGCATCTCAGGCCAGCACGCCCACTTCCTGCAGATTCCAGTCCATCC